GGGTGATGAAAAATGAGAACACATGGACACAGAAAGGGGAGTACTAAACACTGGGGTCTATAAGGGGGAAAAGGGGAGGGTCAGTGGGAGGGGGAGGTGGGGAGGGATAGCCTGGGGAGAAATGCCAAACGTGGGTGAAGGGGAAAAAGAAAGCAAAGCACACTGCCATGTGTGTACCTACACAACTGTCTTGCATGCTCTGCTCATGTACCCCAAAACCTAAAATCCAATAAAAAATTTAAAAAAAACAAAACAAAACAAAAAAAACAACCAGCTAGCATCAAAATGGCAGGATCAAATTCACACATAACAATTTACCGTAAATGTAAATGGGCTAAATGCCGCAATCAAAAGACACAGACTGGCACATTGGATAAAAAGCCAAAACCCATCAGTGTACCCTATCCAGGAAACCTATTTCACATGCAAGGATACAAATAGGCTCAAAATAAAGGGACACAGGAAGATTTATCGAGGAAATGGAGAGCAAAAAAAAGCAGAAGTTGCAATCCTAGTCTCTGATAAAATAGACTTTAAACCAACAAAGAAGAATATAACATAATGGTAAAAGGATCAATGCAACAAGAGCTAACAATCCTAAATATATATGCATCCAATACAGGAGCACCCAGATACATAAAGCAAGTTCTTAATGACTTACAAAGAGACTTAAAGTCTCCCACTATTATTGTGTGGGAGTCTAACACTCCACTGTCAGTATTAGATCAACAAGACAGAAAATTAACAAGGATATGAAGGATTTCAAAACAGACCTGTACCAAGCAAACCTAACAGACATTTACAGAACTCTCTACTCCAAATCCACAGAATATACATTTTCTGAGCACATCACATCTCTCTAAAATTGACCACATAATCAGAAGTAAATCACTCCTCAGCAAATGAAAAAGAACAGAAATCATAACACAGTCTCTCAGACCACAGTACAATCAAGTTAGAATGCAGAATTCAGAAACTAACTCAGAACCAAACAGCTTCATGGAAACTGAACAACTGGCTCTTGAATGTCGACTGGATAAACAATGAAATGAAGGCAGAGATAAAGATTTTCTTCAAAACCAATGAGAATGAAGGCACAATGTACCAGAATCTCTGGGACACATTTAAAGCAGTGTCTAGAGGAAAATATATAGCAATAAATGCCCACATGAGAAGCAAGGAAAGATCTAAAATCGACACCATATCATCAAAATTGAAATAGAGGAGTAAGATCAAAAAAACTCAAAAGCTAGCAGAAGATAAGAAATAACTAAGATCAGAGCAGAACTGAAGGAGATAGAGACATGAAAAACCCTTCAAAAAATCAATCAATAAATCCAGGAGCTGGATTTTTGAAAAGATCAACAAAGTAGACCACTAGCCAGATTAATGAAAAAGAAAAGAGAGAAGAATTAAATGGATGCAATAAAAAATGATAAAGGGGATATCACCACAGATTCCACAGAAATACAAACTACCATCAGAGATTATTACAAACAACTCCATGCACATAAACTAGTAAACCTGGAAAAAATGGATAAATTTCTGGACACTTGCATCCTTCCAAGCCTAAACCCGGAAGAAGTTGAAACCCTGAATAGACCAATAACAAGAGCTGAAGTTGAGGCAGCAATTAAGAGCCTACCACCCCAAAAAAGCCCAGGTCCAGATGGGTTCACAGCTGAATTCTACCAGACATACAAAGAGGAGCTGGCACCATTCCTTCTGCAATTATTCCATACAATCCAAAAAGAGAGAATTAATCCCAAATCATTTTATGAGACCAACATCACCCTGATACCAAAACCTGGTAGAGACTCAGCAAGAAAAGAAAACTCCAGGCCAATATCCATGATGAACATAGATGCAAAAATCTTCAATAAAATACTGGCAAACCAATTGCAACAGCACATCAAAAAGCTTATCTACCATGATCAAGTAGGCTTCATCCCAGGGATGCAAGGCTGGTTCAACATATGCAAGTCTATAAACATAATTCACCACATAAACAGAACCAAAGACCAAAACCACATGATTTTCTCAATAGATGCAAAGAGGGCCTTTGACAAAATTCAACAGCGCTTTATGCTACAGACTCTCAATAAACTAGGTGTCAATGGAATGTATCTCAAAATGATAAAAGCTATTTATGACAAACCCACAGCCAAACCCACATTTACTGAATGTGCAAAAACTAGAAGAATTTCCTTTGAAATGTGGCACAAGACAAGGATGCCCTCTCTCACTACTCCAATTCAATATAGTATTGGAATTTCTAGCCAGAGCAAAAAGACAAGAAAAAGAAATAAAGCATATTCAAATAGGAAGGGAGGAAGTCAAATTGTCTCTGTTTACAGATGACATGATTGTATATTTAGAAGATCCCATTCTCTCAGCCCAAAATCTCCTGAAACTGATCAGCAACTTCAGCAAAGTCTTAGAATACAAAATCAATATGCAGAAATCACAAGCATTCCTACACACCAATAACAGACTTAAAGAGAGCCAAATCGGCCAGGTGTGGTGGCTCAAGCCTGTAATCCCAGCACTTTGGGAGGCCGAGGCAGGTGGATCACGAGGTCAAGAGATCGAGACCATCCCGGTTAACATGGTGAAATCCTGTCTCTATTAAAAATACAAAAAAAATTAGCTGGGCATGGTGGCACATGCCTGTAATCCCAGCTACTCAGGAGGCTGAGGCAGGAGAATTGCCTGAACCCAGGAGGTGAAGGTTGTGGTGAGCTGAGATCATGCCATTGCACTCCAGCCTGGGTAACAAGAGCGAAACTCCATCTCAAAAAAAAGAAAGCCAAATCAAGAATGAACTGCCATTCACAATTGCAACAAAGAGAATAAAATATCTATGAATATAACTAACGAAGAATGTAAAGGATCTCTTCAAGGAGAACTACAAAGCACTGCTCAATGAAGTAAGAGAGGACACAAACATATGGAGAAACATTCCATGCTCATGGTTGGAAAGAATCAAAATCCTGAAAATGGCCATACTGCCTAAAGTAATTTACAGATTAAATGCTATCCCCATCAAGCTACCAATGATCTTCTTCACAGAACTGGAAAAAAACACACTAAACTTCATATGGAACCAAAAGAGAGCCCACATAGCCAAGTCAATAGTAAGAAAAAGAACAAATCTGGAGCCATCACACTACCTGACCTCAAACAATACTACAAGGCTACAATAATCAAAACAGCATGGTACTGGTACCAAAACAGAGATATAGACCAATGGAACAGAACAGAGGCCTTGGAGGCAACTCCACACATCTACAGCTATCTGAACTTTGACAAACCTGACAAAAACAAGCAATGGCAAAAGGATTCCCTGTTTAATAAATAGTGTTGGGAAAACTGGCTAGCCATGTGCAGAAAGCAGAAACTGGACCCCTTTCTGACACATTATACTAAAATTAACTCCAGATGGATTAAAAACTGAAACATAAGAACTAACACCATTAAAAACCCTAGAGGAAAATCTAGGCAAATCCATTTAGGACAAAGGCATAGGCAAGGACTTCATGACTAAAACACCAAAAGCATTGGCAACAAAAGCCAAAATAGACAAATCGGACTTAATCAAACTCCACGGCTTCTGCACGGCAAAAGAAATAGTCATTAGAGTGAATCAGCAACCAACAGAATGGGAAAAAATTTTTGCAATCTACTCATTGGACAAAGGACTGATATCCAGAATCTACAAAGAACTAAAACAGATCCACAAGAAAAAAACAAACCCATTCAAAAGTGGGCAAAGGATATGAACAGACACTTTACAAAAGAAGACATATATGAGGTCAACAAACATGTGAAAAAATGCTCATCATCACTGGTCATTAGAGAAATGCAAATCAAAATTAGGTTGAGATACCATCTCACACCAGTTAGAATGGAGATCATTAAAATATCTGGAGACAACAGATGCTGGAGAGGATGTGGAGACATAGGAACACTTTTACACTGTTGATGGGAGTGTAAATTAGTTCAACCATTGTGGAAAACAGTGTGGTGATTCCTCAAGGACCTAGAAATAGAAATTCCATTTGACCCAGCGATCCCATTACTGGGTATATATCCAATGGATTATAAATCATTCTCTTATAAAAACACATGCACACAAATGTTCACTGCAAACTGTTTACAATAGCAAAGACTTAGAACCAATCCAAATGCCCATCAGTGATAGACTGGACAGGGAAAATGTGGCACATATACACCATGGAATACTGTGCAGCCATAAAAAATGATGAGTTTGTGTCCTTTGTAGGAACATGGATGAACCTGGAAACCAATCTCAGCAAACTGGCACAAGAACAGAAAATCAACCACATGTTCTTACTGATAGGCGGGTGTTGAACAATGAGAACACATGGACACAGGAAGGGGAGCATCACACACTGGGGTCTGTTTGGGGGAACTATGGGAGGGACAGCTAGGGGTGGGGAGTTGGGGAGGAATAGCATGGGGAGAAATGCCAGATATAGGTGATGGTGAGGAAGGCAGCAAACCATACTGCCATGTGTATACCTATGTAGCAATCTTGCATGCTCTTCACATGTACCCCAAAACCTAAAATGCAATAAAATATATATTTTAAAAAATAAATAAAAAATTACATCAGCTAGAAAAAAATATGTACAGAGGACTAAAGTTAAAAGAATAAAGTGCTTTAAAAGTTTATTTAAAGAAAACAAAACCACTGAAAACTAGAATTCTGTATTACATTTTACATCACAAACAATGGTTAATTAACTTTTAAGTAGTGGTACAAAAGACATTAAAGAATGTTATTTGGGCCAAGTCAAAACAATAAAAAGATTATTTTTAAACTATGCTCTCCATAAAAGAATTCACAATGTTACAAATAATAAAGCTATGGATAAAATTACGAGTTTTCTTATTTTCTTATTACAAAACTTTGTAAAGCAATTAATCATTTGAAGTCCCAAACCAAAAGGTAATTGTACTATCTTTCTCTTCAGATGCATCAAAAAAACCCCAGTAATATGAAGACATAAGAAAGAGGAGTGCCTGTTGGATTTGGTAGGATGGTGAATGTTGGTTGTATTTGCCAGAAAAACTTGCAGTGAACTAGTAAGAGCAGAAACCAGTATGTAGTGGGCTGATAATGATGGCAATTTCCAGACATACATCTAATTATCAGCATTCATTTCCAACCTTACCTTTTCAAAATCCTATCATAATTACATTTAGCGGAAAATAAAGTAACATTAGATAACTTTAAAGAGGTTGCAAGATAGAAAATTGAGGAATGGTAAGTCAAAGTGATTTAAGAATGTGATATGTAATCTGCATACAGAGCTGCAGAGATATAAACAGGATGCCCGAAGTAACTCTGGAAAGTTACAAGTCTTGGAAGCACTAGATAGTGCAAAAAGTGAGGGTAAACTGTGAGGTAGAAAACAGATGATTGATTGAATATTGGTAGATACTGAACCCCAAGATTCTCCTCCTTGTAAAACCAAGCAATCACCATTCCCTTCCACTTCTACCTCTGCATTCCCAACTCCTAGGAAATACTTAAGTTTTATGCCCTTAGGAAGTGAACTTGTGACATTTTAAAGTGGCCATGCATATTAAAAGCGAGGGTGAAGCAAGGAGCTACAAACTGAGGAATTCAGTGTAACTCATACTGAAGTCTAACTCTTTCCACTGATATGCTTCCAAAAGCACCAGCAAACATAACTTCCCTTTTTCCCCAGGAACCTCCAAATGACCCAAAAGCAAGAAAGTAGAAGACGTTTCCTGATCAAATAAAAGAATTTAGAGAAAATGTTTCAAGATGCTCTACTGGAAAAGCTGTCCGGGTGCCTATAGCTAATTTATCTAATTGCCATTCTCACTCTTACATTCAAAACTTCCGCAATGAACATAAAACACAACTAATTATGACCAGCCGAAAAGGAAGTCTAAAATAATCAAATAAGAAACTGAGAACATGCTTTTAAAAAAAAAAGTTAGAGAAAAAACACAAAACCACTCATAATTAATATTTGCAGAGAAACAAGAGATGACCAGATATCCACAACACAAGAACCATAGCCAAAACAAATAAAGCAGAGTAAGAAAAATGTCTTAGAAATTAGAAGATGGCAATGGAGGAATATAGAGTATCTTTGAAAAAACATTCTAGAAAGTAGAAAAGGCAAACAAATTCAAGAGAGGAAGAAAAATGAGGGAATTAAAGATCAAACAAGAAGATCTCAGGATCCAAATGATGGGGATTATAGATGGCAAAACTTGAAGAGAAGTAATTATGTTATTAAAGTTGTAGGATGGTAGTTATATCTAAGAATCCTAAGTAAACATAATCACATTATAATTTAATTTTAGCAAATCAGGGATGAAAAGACAATCCTGCTAGCTGCTGGAAGGAGAATAGAGTAAGAAGCAGAATAGCATCATCAGAAGCAATGTTTGAAAGTAAAGGACAATAAAACAATGCCTTCAAAATTCTGAGACTATTAGCATTCCATACGATTTGCATTTTGTGAAGCAGAGTGCAGTGGGGAACTAAATTATCGAACACATGGCATTGGTTTTTCTCAGAAGAGTTCTGATTCATGTTTATGGTTCCAGTATTATTTTTAATAGTCTCTCTCCAACTTACAAATTGTTAAGGTAATAAAAGAAGCTTTATAGGCTTTCTTCTTTAGCCCAAGTTCTAATTTTTTTCTGATGGTCAATTCCAAAATTAATTATCTTCTTACACCCCCACCTCAAACCATCCTTTGAGCATTCAAATAAGGTAGAGAGAGAGGTAAGGGACTCAACAATATGGCAGCTCTAATGAGGTTCCTTACCTCCTGCTTGGACCAATAGGCTCTTGGACTTGTCATTCAGCTGGATGAACAGGGAAAATCCACAAATAGCTTAAAAGAAACACCTCAGACAGCCTAGCCTCAAGCTTGATTTCCCCAATGGAATGTTAGAGACCATGACAAAAGGAGAGGCTTAAAATGTGCTTCTGTGACAGTTCACAGTTCCCTGCTTCTTTCTTGCCTTGGGTAGCCCATTGGTCAAAGAAGAAAGACATGGAGCATGGCACCTCTTACTTCCAAACCTTCAGCCCAAAGGCAGAGTCACTCAGATATTCAGAAATAGATACTTTTTAATGGGTAGTATATACCATCGATAATGTGTGTGTTTAGAAATAACTGATAGCCAACTGAGTGACCATGCAATCATGCTACCTAAGCACATGTTAAGCCTTTGCTCTTGTCTTGTCCACCAACATCCCATTGACCAAACCAAGGTTGAGGTTCGGCTTCCTATGAGGTTTCTTCTTTCAAGCTATTTGTGGATTTCCCCTGGTCATACACCAGAATGACAATAACTAAATTTCTAATGACAGAATCTTTCATAATTTCTACTGTCAGAATCACTTAAGTGCCTAATGACAATATATGTTAAAGCCCAAAATACAGTTAAACAATAATTTATCCTCAGAAAGATTTATGAGAAAAGAATGTCTATAGAATTAATATTTTAAGTTAGAGATTAGCATCCCATATGCAATTAACTATTGTTTTAATTTAGAAATATAATTACAATGCAAAAGGTCATATTTTAGTTCTTGGAAACACAGTATGCAAAAAATGAAAAAGATACATACACATACATTAGGCTCTGAGGATGTTTTAACATTTCCTTTTCAGAATAAAATGCAAGAGAATTTAAACAATTAAATCCATCAAATCACCATTTAAATTATTACAGAAAAAAATTTATATGCCTGCTTATATTACAGTTGAAATTATCTTGGAAAGTGTTTTCAAATGAAGGAGACATTGTTATTTTTAGAATTGTTTTATTCTATTTAATCAAATGTAAGTTATATTGATCTTTAATTATTCTTCAGGTTAGACACTATTCAAGAGTATTAATGTGAGGAAATCGGCCTATTTTTTTATCTAGTTACATGTTAAATATTTACCAACTTGAATTAACTTCTCATATTATATTGTCTATTTATAAAATCACTAAAAACTGCTATATGTTATTTTAAATAATATTTATATCAGTGGATTGTTAATGAATTTAAGATAAACCTTTATTTAACATACTGTTGAAAAGTGACATTGGGTTACTAGCCATAGACTACTTTGATTTAATATGGAAAAAGAAAACTGAAAAGTAAAACTTTGAAATTTGAAAAATGTAAATGATTAACTTTGTATCACTTCGGTTTTGTATCGTAGACATTAATAAAACTTTAGTATTTTGTGCCATGAAGTCGGAAGTAAGTATAAAACACAAAAGTTGCATCCTGAAGGAGAAAGATAGGTTGTCTCGAGGGAAAGCACTCATTCACTTGTTAGAGAGGTAAGCTAAGCTAACCACTTTTTCATGGAACACCACATTTACCTCCAAAAAAACAAACTATGACCATTTAGATTTACACATTTGGCAGACTTTTTTTTTTTTTTTTTTTAGAAATGAACAAAGTGAATCTTTCAATACAAGTGAAAGAAGTGATAGTTGTTTGATAAAATTTGAACTTTCAAGCAAATTTAGAAAAATTTGGTCTGCTACTGTGAGCTTGACAGCTGCCAATAAATGAAGGTTTTCTTTGACATAAACAGTGATACTACTAGAAAATCTCCATTATTCATTAAACTTTTATTTTCCAAATGACCAATGCATGTTACAAGTCACGCATTTCAAAGTGCAAGGTGAACCAATGGATTATAATATTAAAACAAGAACAAAAAGGACAGTGGTATACTTTCAAATTCCACACTTCACTTTTAGGAAATTGCCACTTCTCATTTTTTTGTGTGTATCAAAGAAAAATAACCACAATTATATTAAAAGACTATTAAAATATGCCTGCCTTTTCCAATTACATAAGTTTTTCAGCTGGGTTTTATTTTATTTCTAATTGGTACATAATAGATGCACATACTTTTGGAGTACATGTGATACACTTAGTTTATAAAGATTAAATAAGCATAATTGGGTTATTTATCACCTTAAATATTTGTCTTTTATCAAAAAACATTCAAGTTATTTTCTTCTAGCTATTTTGAAATATAAAATCAATTATCATAAACTGTAGTCATTCTGCTGTTCTATCCAACACAAGGTCTTATTTATTCTATCAAATCATCTGTGGTTTTAAACTATTAATAAATATCTCTTTATCCTACCCTCCTCTCTAACCTTGCTGGTCTCTAGTATCCGCCAATCCACTCTCTATCTTTCAGAGATCCATGTCCACATATGAGTGTAAATGTAAAATTTGGTTTTAATACTTGGCTTAATTAACGTAACATAATGACCATTAATTCCACTCATGTTGCTACAAATGAGAGATGTTTTAGATGAATAATATTCTATCGTGCGTGTGTGTTTGTACATACCACATTTTCTTTGTTCATTCATCCATTGAGGAACACTCAGGTTGATTCCATATTTTGGCTATTGTGAATAGTGCTGCTATAAATGTGGGTATGCAGGTATCATTCAATATATTGATTTCCTTTCCTTTCTTTGGGGTATATGTCCAGTAGCAGAATTACTCAATCATATGGCAGTCCTGTTTTAGTTTTTTGACTAAAACGAATCATATAGTAATTCTGTTTTTAGTTTTCACGTGGTGTTTTCCAAGTCTCCACACAGTTTTCCATAATGGCTGTACTAATTCACATTCCCACCAACAGTTCCCCTTTCTCCAGCATCCTGACCAGTATCTGTTATTCATGGTCTTTTTGATAAAAGCTACTTTAACTGGGGCAAGATGTTATCTCTTTGTGGTTTTAATTTGCATTTTTCTGATGATTAGTAATTTTGAGTTTTTTATTTATATGTATCTGTTGGCCACATGTATGTCTTCTTTTGAGAAAATGTCTTCTTTTACCCATATTTTAATTGGATTATTTATTTAATTAATTTATTTTTTGAGAGGGAGTTTCACTCTGTCACCTATGTTTAAGTGCAGTGGCACAATCTCCACTCACTGCAACCTCTGCCTCCCTGCAACCTCCATCTCCCAGGTTCAAGCGATTCTTCTGCCTCAACCTCCCGAGTTGCTGTGACTGCAGACATGCACCACCAGGCCCAGCTAATTTTTTTTTAATGTATTTTTAGTGGAGACATGGTTTCACTATATTGGCCAGGCTGATCTCAAACTCCTGTTCGAGATCAAGATCTACCCACCTCATCCTCCCAAAATGCTGGAGTTGCAGGCATGAACCACCAGGCCTGGCCTGTTTTATTATTTAGATGCTTCCTCTGACACAACATTTTGAAACATTCAGAACCCAAAAACAGGTATGAGAATCCAAGTGTTTTCTATTAAGCCAAACATGTCAAAATCTATTAAGCTAGATTTACCAATGTACAACACTGTTATCCTTCTTACAATTTTTGTTTTTGTTTTAAGAAATGAAATTATTTTTATAAAACCATAGTATTTAGGTAGGTCACCCAAGCTGGAGTACAGTGGTACGATCTTGGCTCACTGAAACCTCTACCTCTGTGATTCAAGTGATTCTCCTACCTCTGCCTACTAGCTGCGACTACACATGTATGCCACCACACCCAGCTAATTTTTGTACTTTTAGTAGAGATGGAGTTGCATCATGTTGGTCAGGCTGGTCTTGAACTCCTGACCTCAGGTGATCCACCCGCCACAGCCTCCCAAAGTGCTGGGATTACAAGCATGAGTCACAGCACCCAGCCAATTTTAAATCAATTTAAAAATATATTTTTTAATAATCAATTTTAATTTATAGTATTTCTAACACAGCCAAAATTATTAGATGTAACTCACAGAAAACACAATTCTTTGCAATCTTAAAGGGATCCTAAGACCAAACTATTAAAACTACTGCTTATAAAGTGCTTCCTTCATAATGTAACTGTTGTAGATGTGAAAGTACTCTAAAGTAGAAAATAGAAATTTTAATGATATTCTTATTTAAAAAGAAATAGTAAATGTTTCTTTTCTTATGGAGTCTCATTTTTTAATAATATACTGGTATTACAACTCTACCTAGTGTCTGCATTTGAATCTCAGATAATCATCATTGAACATAAAAAGGAAAATAACAACATCTGAATATCACAAAATAACCCAATACCACAAATTGGCTCATGAATATTTAATTAGTACATTAATTGATCTACAGATAAGTAAGGCTTGCAGAATAAATGAATAAACTCATAAATATTCCCTGAATTTTCTATGTGGTCTTTTGTAGAAGGCAGTAGGCGTATTATGAAAAACAAGTTGCTCCATAAATATTAAAACCATGACATATTAATAGTTGAAAAAATGCCCTTTTATTATAATCACTGGCCACTGCTATTCTAATAATAATCGAAGATGAAAAATGGAGATTTACATAACTGAACACCATTTGAAAATGTGATATTAGCTTGATTGATGTTTACACATTAGAAAACTTTAAAACTCTCAGACATGGTGATGATTAACCAGGTAAAAGCAGATGATGGCACATTTATCTTTGATCTCTCTAGTTTAAATGGAGTGAGGATGCATGCAGCTCTATTCCCCTATTAACTCTCATTTACTTAGTCTCCTGTGTGATGTAGATATAATACAAGATAGCATGGTCTTGTATTTATTTCCAAAATACATGTATTTCTTTGTGAAGTTTACCTTATTGAAATAAAGGGTGATTAAAAGTTAATTAAAGATTGTTTCTTTATTTTGCTATTTTCACCGTGTGTATGCCTCCCCCAAATTGTCTTTTATCATTTTAAGTACTACTTATTCCTATAAGACTCCCTTAAATAATTCCTAATACCATAAGGTTAAATATATTTTATTTCCTCAGTATTGGCATAGAAAAGTTTAAGTTTTTTTTTGAGGGGGGTGGCGTTTATCAAATGTCTTACAATCTTTTTTTTTTTTTTAATTTGTAGAGACAAAGTCTTATTACATTGCCCAGGCTGGTCTTGATCTCCTGACCTCAAAGGGTCTTCCCACCTTGGCCTCCCAATGTGCTGAGATTACACGAATGAACCACTTTTCTCAGCCTGATTTTTAATATACATTCTATCTCATTAACTACATTATCAGTTCCTTGAAGTAAATTAGCACTGTACTTCCTTGGCTTTGTTCATATTGATATGGTGAAAGCTGAGAATTTAGCATATGAGCATTTTATGTTAACCTAAGTGACTCAAAGGACCCAAGCAAGTTCTGTCAGCTCAACTCAAGTATCCTGGTGAGATAACCCAAAAATAAACCTTACCTGAGGGAAGTTCGGAACCAAAAATACCATATTCACATTTTATATTATTACATAAGAACTTAAGTACATTACTTCCTATTGGAAAATAAAATATGTAAGTCTACTTTCTATAGGCCTAATTACCAAATATTACCTTATATGAAGAAATAAACTATTAGCAATGTGACCCAGAAGGAAACTTCAGCATCATTTCAAGTGAAATCCTTCAAATTTACTCCCATTTCCTCTGCCTAATGTTTTTAGTTATAGTAAGTGATATTAATCTCTCTACTCTGAAAGGATGAAATGAGTAATAAAAGGGCATATGCCACCCTAAAAAATACTGCTTTAATATTCAATGATAATGTTTTTTGTTGTAGATTTTAAAATTATGTTGGCTGAATTTGTGAAGACCAATATTTTTTATAATATTCTAACAACAAGTAGTTTCAAGATTTCTAACCTGTCTATTCTTGTATCTTCCTCACATCTATTAATGACAATGTATTCCCCTCCGCATCATAAGAACTAGTTTGAGTTTCCCCAAAACAGATTCTGAGACAAAGACCTGAATGCAGGTAGCTTATTTGAAAGGTAATCCCAGGAATTAGAAGTGAGATCATAAGGAAAGTGAGATGAAACAAACCCCAACAGTTAATACTGTGGGAAACTGGGACCCATTCCTTTTGGTGACACTCGAAGGAAACATAAAGAACAAACCTTGGCATTGTCCCATGTTGATCTACTGAACGTTACCCACTGTGGGCATATTTGATCTCTGGCTTTCAGGGATCTATTGATCACAAATTTGCTGCATAAGAATGTACCCCCAGCCGGGCCCGGTGGCTCAAGCCTGTAATCCCAGCACTTTGGGAGGCCGAGGCAGGTGGATCACGAGGTCAAGAGATCGAGACCATCCTGGTCAACATGGTGAAACCGCGTCTCTACTAAAAATACAAAAAATTAGCTGGGCATGGTGGCGTGTGCCTGTAATCCCAGCTACTCGGGAGGCTGAGGCAGGAGAATTGCCTGAACCCAGGAGGTGGAGGTTGCGGTGAGCCGAGATCACGCCATTGCACTCCAGCCTGAGTAACTAGCGAAACTCCGTCTCAAAAAAAAGAAAAAAAAATAAAAAAGAATGTACCCCCATCAAAAAAGCAGTGTCCATTGTACTTACAGTGAGATGCTTTCATTATACAGGAACTTATTGTAGGTGAACCCCACTGTGGACCAAGCAATTAAGAGGTGATAACTCTAAAATATCTGTCACATCAATGTTCCAGGTTTTAAAATCAACTTTTAATGATGTCTTTACCTCATTAATCTCATAAATTGTCAACAATATCTGAATAGCTTCCTAACTGCATTCCTCTCTTGTAATTATGTTCTGGTCTAATCCTATGAGCAGACAGGGAAGGTCTGCAGGGATTATAGGAATTAAATCAACTTGAGCAATCAGCCTGTTGTACAACTTTGCAGCCTTTCTCCCTCCCCAAACCCTGCGTGGAAGGTGGTCACCCAGTTGATTGAAATCAGCTCTTCACAGATCCCAGGAACTTACACAGATAAACATGAGTGAACTTCCCTCAGTACCATGCTGAGATCTCCACCCTGAGAGAAGCTATAGCTTCATTACCATAACATGTGATGCAAGTACTGGCAAGACTCACTGAATT